ACCTGTGCGACCATTTCAGCAAATTCGCCATTGCCATTCCGCTCTCAACTGTTCGAGCCATCGACCTGTGGGAGGCATTCTACTGCAATTGGGTTTCGGTCCTCGGCACTCCCAGGAACCACTGAGCGACAACGCGTTCCGCGCAGAGGAATTCCGAGAGCGTTGTGAATGCGCTTACGGAACGGTTCAAGTACTGATGGAAAGCCTCGACGACTCCGTTGCCGCGCGGGTAGTAGGTTGAGCAGAATAGACAGTTTATCCAGGCACATCAACCACAGACTGGATGAGATCGTCGCATCAATGAGATCGTCGCATCTTCCATGCTGGCCTATCGCTGCATCCCCATGCCACATCCGACTACCGGTGAATCTCCCTACCGTATCATCACCGGGGCCGACCTGGTCCTACCACGCTTTCAAGAGTGGCACAAATTCGAGAACCTTATCACCGATGTCATCCCTCGCCTGAAACTCCTCAACACGTTCCGGCAGGATGCACTCAATCACACCTTGGCGTCAGTCAGCAAGGGCCGCCCCCCCGTCAAGAAAGACATCGATGTAGGAGACGCAGTTGTAATCTTACTACTCGACAAGCTCCTTCATGATCTCCAGCAACGGTTCGGAGACGCTAAACTTCTGCCCACCTGGTCAGAACCCTGCCGCGTCACGGCAATCAAAGACAACAGGGTTGTCACACAATCGGTATGGCACATTCACCTGACTTATGAGGCCCCCCTATCCGAAGTCATGAAGGTCACTCGCTTGCCTGTGGATCTACGGGCCCTGACCATCCGTGAGATCGCGGCCGACCATGTCCGACATAAGCCCCCAGGCACGGACTCCCTACGACGTGCGAACCTGTACGAGAAGACACCACAGATACCGCGAGGACCTCACACCAGGCCGAGACCGGTGATCCGCTCCATAGACAGACTGCTGATGAACAATACGGTCAACTCAAGACTTCATTTCGCCTTGGTACCCCGCGACGCTTTAAAAAGCCCGGGAGGTTGTGTCGTATGAACGCCGCTCTGCGTCCCTGCACGCACGACGTCGCCAGACAATACGGTTGCTTTTTATAAAACCCAGATCAGATATTCGCGCCTGCCCTCTACGATGTCGCAGCCAACGAGCCCTTCGCCTAGTAGCCACGAGTCTCACATACAAACCCCAACGGTCGGTGGACAACCTGGGGCTACTTCACAAACAGAAGACGCTGTTGGCAGCCGCTTTGCACAGACACAACAAGCTTCTCAACAAACAAAGCAACAAGTGGAAGAAACGCCGTTGCGCTCTACCGACTGAGTTAAAGCGGCCACAGCCCCTGGCGGCATGCGTTCCTGGATGAACGGGCAGGGCTGGTGGGCAAGCGGGCTTTGCGAAGGTGCTGCCGGTGGCCATCAGGCCCCACACGGTTGGGGCAGCCCGCACAGGTAGATGGAGAATCGAGCCGTCACGGTAAAGTCGTCGCCGATATTAAGGCACTCACCCCACTGGTCCACGGGAGCGCGGTAATCGGTTGTTGGTGCTATCCCTTCTGTCACTAGTTGTCGGACCGGATCGGCAGCTGTCGGACGGCAGCCCCACTCCTGCCAAAAACTCCCGAGGGTGTGGAGTGCGATGGTGTGCGGACAATATGTCATTTGCCACTTCGGACGACCTGGCCATCGATCCCAGTGCCTCTCGCGTGCTAAGCGAGCGCTCTACCGTATGTTCACGGCCGGCAGCTGGTGTATTGTGGTGCTGGAGATCGAACAGCCCCATGAAATGAGCTTGGAACGAGCCGGAACGGATGATTCCCTTCACACAATGACGGTGTTATGCGTTTCTTCGTATCCACCAACCCTCATTGTTTCGGAGGTGGGTCCAAATCTACCGCTCTCGAATGCCCGACCACTGGCAATAGTACCGCCTCAGCATGTAGATGATCGGGCTCAACTCGTGGTTATGCGCCGTACAACGCCCACGCGCTGGTGATTCAACACCCGTCGCTAAGTTTCCTCCAGAGCGCACACGGAATTGAACCATGGGCCTGCTTAACTGCAGTGAGGGTAACTACCAGCAAGGGAGTGGCTGCAGGAGTGGGAGTCGAACTGTCACAAAAAACACCACACAAACGA